CTGCTACTGCCTTGCCTCTGGACTTTCTCTTCCAGTATGCAGATCCAGGCTCTTCTTCCTGGAGCACTTCCTCTGATTCAGCGATTGCCGCTGCCTGTCGTGCTGATGCATCTGCTGCTGCTGCTGCCCTCTTTGCCGCCCTCTTTGCCACCCTCGCCGCTGGCAATCTCTTGCGCTTTTCGGTCCGCACGTCTTGCACCATCACCACCTCCTTTGCCGACCTTCGCTTCTTCATCCCCCGCCACCTCGCCACCATGGAGTCCCAATCCATGTCGTAGTCGAGCAGGGAGATAGTGAGAAGGTCGCACAACTTGGCATCGCACAAGTTGCCTCTGAGCCAACTCTTAATAACGTTCTGCCGACTGAAGCCCCTCTCACACTCCACCGTGCTGAGAGGGAGTACTCCCAGCGCGATCCACACCAGCACCAAGTTGGGGTATGCCGTCTCCCAGTTGGGAGAGGCCAGCATGTTCTTCAAGCCGTCCAGGAACCCAGAGTCCTTCTGATGTGCAGAGATAATGATCGTGAACTGTGTCAGCTCCTTCTCCGCCTTGCTCCAGTTGACCCCTGACGGGAGTGTGCAATGGAGAAGGGAGATGGAATGAGAGGGAGGGCGAGACCGTTCAGCAGTCAAAGAACAGGGGTATGCTAAACCAGCAAGCGTGCCAGGTGCAATCTTGGGATCAAAGCCTGCAAATGATGCAACAGTGCAAAGGATGACTAACCTGGCAGTGTGTCAGGAGCGTCCGGGGCGCGCTTGTAGAGATTTCGCAAACCACCTAGCCACAGCGGAAAGCGCCGTGCCCTCTTCTGAATCGTCTTGGGGTAGGCTCCCTGGCGAAAGAGCTTGGTGCAGTTGAGGTTGCTAAGATCGGCCAGGCGCGAGTCGATGCCGTTCAGCACCTTCATAACGAAAGACGTTGCTAGGGTCATCAGCGACCCCATGTCTGCGTCACTCCGCTGGCCGTGGATTGGATTCTCATGCAGCTCGTAGGTATGGATGAGTGGCGTCCGTCCGCGTCTACACCCCGGACAGTGACCTGCCGGTTTTGGATGTCGGTGTGCTTGGCAATGAACTCCACGAGAGCAGTGTTCCCATGTCCGAAGTGTTGACCGTAGTTGACGTAGCGCCCGCGCAGAGTAAGTTTAGTGTTGTCCACCGTTTGAAGCACGTGCGTAACATCGACCTGAGGTTGGGTGGAGAGGGGCGAGCGGGAGTGGGGATGGGTGGGAGGAAACAACAGGAATAATGAGAACGCAAACATACAGTTGCCAATCCTTTAAATTTCTCCCCCTCACCTGTCGGCGCTGGAACTTCAAGTTGAGGATATTCAGCTCCTTCAGGACGTCGGCAAGGAAGTAGAGGAGGAAGTGGAATTTGAGGCTGATTACCATTTGGTAGGCCTGGTGATCGTACTCTGAAAGAAGAATGATTGCACTAAGGAATACCTCGACAAGCCGTTGGATTGCCTCACCTCGAGACAACCACCTGATGTTGTGGATACCCTGCATCTCAAGATTAGTCTCTGTAAACACTTCTTGCAGCTGCTTGAAACGATTGTGAACCACAATCGAACGGCCGAGGACCTCGGCCAATGATCGCACGACCTTGTCAACAATGACAAGGTCGGGAAAAGAGGTTGCAGCGTCTTTTGCTGCGAGCGCCTCCCTGCCAAGCAAAAACCAAAGGTATTAGTATTCTGTTTGATTAGAAAACAAAGAAAAAAACTACTATGGTGCACGAACAACCTGTGGGCGATGCAGTGGCAGCTGACGAGATGCGGGATCCGCTCTCGAAGCCGTGCTTCGAGCCCTGTTGTGCCCTGGTCATCACGCTAGCGCCATCCGTGCTGATGCCACAAATCCTTTGCAGGTCTATCCCCGTTGCTTCAAGGTGAGTGAGCAAGACCGCCTGTAGTGACGCGGCGTCGCATTTCTCCACAGTCAGGTGGGCGTAGAACTCAGTGACGACTTCACGGTCACGAAGGAAGAAGAGATAGACGATCATGTGCTTCCCCCTTCAACGGTCGGTGCTCTCGTCCAACTGGATGCCAAGGAAGGGGCTTCCCAGGATGTGCCTCAGTTGATGTGCACGCAGGTAGCCCACCATGCTTTCCACCATCTGGGCAAAGCCATATCTGCGAGAAGAACAAGGGAATCAGTTGTGGCAGGCGGGATAAAACAAACAAACAAGGCAAATCAAGAGAGGTAGCGCCGAGCATACGGGCAAAGATGAACGGCTTACTCTGAATAGTACGTGCCGTTCTCCTTCAAGGGCATATCGGGCGTCCCTTGTTTTGCCATGAATTGAACAAGGGACACGAACAGAACAATAGGAGCGTCAGACTTACAAATGAAGAGAACAATCGCAAGGAGCCTTTTCAAACGACGAGCATCCTCGTCGCCATCCTCAAAGTCGACAATACTCTTCTGGTTCTTCACTTGGCCGTCCCTGTGAGCCTTCACCGCCATGGCCGCTTCATGCTTCCCGCTGTGGTCATAATTGCGTATCATCTGCTTCTGTATATCGATGCCGCCCTCTCCGTCACGGCCGTGCTGGTAATTCGGCTGGCCGTACGCCATGCATACAGTGCACTTCATGCAGGGGCGGCCTTCACTAGTCTCGGAAATAACCAGCCACGGGAAGTGCCGGTGCCACTGTTCAGGTGTACCGTCCGCCACAAGAGAGGGTGTGGGCGCCACGGGAGGTTCAGCGGCTGCCGCTGGAGGAGCAGCCGCTGTATGAGATGGCGCGATCGGCGGTTCGGCAGCATGCGGTTGTGTACTTGCTGATGCCGCTGCTGTAGCTATTGAGGAGGCTGGATGAATGCGTGCGCCGCGGCGCAAGAAATCCAGTGCGCTAAGCGCACTCGGATCGGGAGGGAGGGGGGTGTTCGAGCATGGCTTACTCACTTGGGCACTAGCCCCAACGTCCGTTGTCATGGCGCGTATAGAAGGCTAGTCAGAGCTGCAGAAACATGCATAGAGGAGCTAGAAACTACTATGCTCGGCAGGCTGTGAGAGCCTTGTTTGACGACGTAGGGGTGTAATGGGCCTTCCTAGGCATTCCGGAGGAAGGGAAAGATGATGCGAGAGGAGGGAATGGGCTCAGATTTCATGCAGGGAGCGCGCTACGGAAGTGACGCTCTCTTTCCTAAGCATCACGAAACCCAACGCCAGCTCGAGATGCCCGAGCCAGATTTCTAATGGCGCAGGCAATGTGCTGGCAAGAAGATGACAGGCACAATGCGCTCCAAAAGTTGTCATGCGCGCCGACCACATGCATGTCAGCAGCGGCGCTGACCATGTACTGCCTGTCCGGTGCGTCGAAAGCACACAAAAAGGACACCGAGTGGCAGAACGTAAAGTGTCATCCTGCCACCAAATTGTGTTGTGTGACAACGCAGAGGAGTGTCGCGCGAAGTCATGATTACGCGTGCTTGGAGTTTGGGACCATCGCCTGTGAATTGTTGCCAACTAGCCTAGTTGGGAAACCTGTTGGTTCCAGACGAAAACATACGCGTTGTCTGACGCTTCAGATGAAACACTACACCTGGTCTGATTTTGGAGATGGAAAAATAATAATAAAAAAAAAACGTTCAGATGGGAAATAACTAATGGTCTGGGTTTTCATACGAAACAACAAAATCAGGTCTGTTTTTCAGACCATCAGACCAATTTCGTCTGGTGTCAAGGGCCCTGGATTGGACCCTACAAGGGTTACGGTTCGAGTGTCACTTTCAGGAATGTAACAATTTCCTTATCGTAACAGAGTAGAAGAAGCTGGCGAAGCAAGGGAAGGGGGAGGACCAAACAGCAACAGGAGATTTGCGACCTACAACGAGAATCCGAAAATGATATTCTCGATTAAGAGAAAACGATAGGCAACATCAAAATAACGGAATGAGCTAAAATAGAGTTAGGCACGACGCACAAAGCCGGGGCTCGGTATAGATTATACTTGTGATGGGAAAAATGGCTCAGAATGCACTCGCGGCAACCCGTTAAGGTGTATGCTTTATTTAGGAAATGGCATTTCCTTCAAGTTAGCCACTTTTCATATGTTAAGTTATTAGTGCGCAATTTGGATTCTCACTCACAACAGGAGGTTAGCTCCCTTTTGAAGCCCAATCCACTTCTGTTTCACGGAAACAAAGCGGAACAGCGATTCGGAGAAAGTTGTGTTATTGTCACCTTTGCGAGTTCTATCGAATTCGCATGAGGGCGACTCGAAATGGGCTCGGCAGCAATGGAGGGAATGACAGAGAAAAATCAAAGCGCGTTTTCGATTCCTTTAGAGGGTCATATCCGGGACCCCTTGCGTTATTTAAAACCTCATTCCTTTGGGAGTGGAAAATCCATGTCTGGACATCACGCCGGTGAACTCTTTTTGTTTGGCTCTGAAAAATGTAGTAACATGACGAAGATTTTAGCCAGATCGATTTCGAAGATTACAGCACGACGAAAATTACATACTGTACGAAGTGTTTTCGACATCCCCGGTCGTCATCGGGAGGGTCCTCACCAAAGTTCTTGTTTCGCATAAACATTTAGCTCGGCTATTTGGTCCAACCTCCTTTGGAGGGAGCCAACACTGCACGGAAAACCCCACTCGGGCAAGATAAAATATTTAGGCACTTGGTTTTCAAACCCCCCTAGATTTTCCGAGAGGGTGCGGTGCACTCTACCTAATCCCTCCAGAACCGGTTACGACCGTGGGTGGTGTTGTTGCATTGCATAATGTACAGTACTTTCATCCTTTTTTTTTTCTTTTTTTTAAAAAAACTCGGCTATTGTTGAGCCTGAAGAAATCGGGGCTGCGATTCCGCGGGGGTTCGCGGATATGACCAGCTTGAAGGATATGAAAACACGATTCTTCCTTTGGTCGTCATTCCCTCTCGATAATGTATGCCTACTCGCCAACATGAGCCCATCGATAGGTACAGTAAGGTTCCCTATAGTTACAACACGCTGCAGAAGTTTAGAGTTGGTGCCAGCGTTAACCCCTGCAATAGCTCCTTTCGAAGGGCGGGCTACGTGCACTCATCAGTCATATTCTCCTAATAGCGAGCCGTGAGCGTGCGAGCAGAATCTAGGTGCTGTGTTGGCCTGCTTCAGCCGTCCCACGAGCATTTGCTCTCACCTCAGCAACGTGGCACGGGCCGTTCTCAGCAATCTGTAGCTGCGTCCATTGAGTGGGCGTTCGCAATCCTCGTCGTACGGTCGTCTGCTTTCTTTAGAGCTCTTGCGAACTGATGCTGGTCTGAACGGGCAGACCACTTAGAAGAGCGACAAACTGCACGACCCGCAAGCTTCATTCGACAGACAAGCCAATGGCGGCGGCGCTTTCCGACCGCCGCCCGTCCGCTACAGTCCTCACCCCGCGCTCTAGCGCCGCGCGCAGAGCGCGGAGGCCGCAACGTCGATGGCTCTCGCCGGCGGGAAGCTGCAGCGTGGTAGCGAGTACAGCGCCCATGGCCGCCGGCAGTCCCCGACTGACCGCCTCTCGCCATCACCCTCCGCTCTCACTCGCTCTGCTGCTCGCCGCCCTCGCTCTACTCGCCACCCACCCGCCTGCCCTTGCTGCCGCGCCTGTCGCCCGCAAAGCTAGCGCAGCCCGGCTTGAACCAGCGGAGGCGACGAGCAGAGCAGCGGCGGCGGCGGGGGGCGTGACTGCGACGGCGGCGGCGAGTGACAGCAGCGGGCGGGCGCTGGCGAGTCGGTGGAGTGGCGGGAAGGAGGGCGGTGGTGGACGCGGAGGGAGCGCAGACGGTGAAGGGCGGGCGAGCGCGGAGGAGCCGAGAGGTAGGGATGGCGGGAGGGAGGAGAGGGGAGGGCTCGATGAGGTGGGCTTATGGGTGGAGACAAGAGATCCTTTCCTCTACAGCGTCCGCACCCTCGCAGCTCCCCCGTTCTCCACATATGCCGGCAGGTCCAATAACCCAGTGTGCGAATTCCCTCACACTCCCCCCTGCGCATCCCCTACATCGTTCGATTTCGAACACCACCGCACCTCCCCAATGTGCCCCCGTCTGTCCTCGCCTCCCTTCCGCCGGCGTCCCTACCCCCAGTGTACATCGTCCGCTTCCGCACAGCGCCCCCGGTCACCGCGTATACCGGCGGATTCGAGGGCCTCAGCCCCACCGCCGTGCCGTCGCGGGGTCGGAGGGGCGGCAGGACTGGGCGGTATCGTCTGGATTCTGGCGACGAGCGCGTGATGGCGTACTCCCAGCACGTGCAGGCGATGCAAGACGCAGAGTTGGCACGTGGCGGGGTGGATGCGAGAACGCAGAAGTTATACAGGTGAGGAGTTATGTAGCGCGTATGAGGGCAATATATTCCCCGCTACGAGTCCCTCCCTCCGCCGTGCATACTGGCATCCCCCTGTCCAGTGATGGATCCTCCCTTGCTAGAAGGCACAGCCGCCACAACTGTACTGAAAGCGCGTGTTGGTGTGGTAGTTTCAGCGCGCACGACCCCCCAGCCGCACCATCCCACTGATCACATCGGCCACCTCAGCGCTCCATTTCCAATACCCTGGTCGCCTCCCCACCCCCACCCTCTCACTCCCTTCCACCCCTCATCCAGCTACACCTAGCTGCGGCCGAGCGCCTGATCCCGCGCATGCATTCCGCAAGCAGGCAAGCGTGGCTGGAGAGTCTTCGCCCCTCACCGACCCAACTTCCCGTCCCCGCATCTCCCTCCCCAGTTACACATTTGCGCTCAACGGCGCAGCAGTGCGCTTGACCCCCGTGCAGGCGGCAGCACTGCGCAGGCAGGCGGGCGTGGGCGCGGTGTCAGCGTCCGCGCGGCTGCATCCGCGCACCATGTACACGGCGTCGCTGCTGGGGCTGCGCAACCGCATGTGGCGGTGGAGGGACCAGCGGGGGAGGGCGCTCCAAGGGGAGGACGTGATCGTGGGCGTGATCGACACGGGCGTGTGGCCCGAGAACCCCGCCTTCACTGACCAGGTGCGCGAGATGCGTTGAGCTGCCCATGCGCGCTGCTGGTGCTTTTCGCGCCCATGTGGCGGGCAATGGGGAAGGAGGGGCATGGAGGTGAAAAGATGTGCGATTATAGTGGTCAGTGGCACGAACGTGTGGAGGGGTTGGGGTTGGCAACCGCAAGTGGCAGTGGCAGCACCAGCGGAGGAGGGTGAGAGGATGCCATGTTAGGCGTGATTGACACTGGCGTGCCTCAAGTGGCGAGGTTGATGCTGGCCCCCTTGCTCCCTCGCCCCACGTGTCCAGGTGTCCATGCGCCCATATCCTCCGCTTGCTATCCGCCTTGCCAGGCGTTACTTTGCGGAATTCCGCACCCGCCTCCACCTCATCGTCCTTCGCCCCTCCCCTTCCCTGTTTTCCCATCCCCCCATCACAGGTCTCCCCACCCTATGGCCCCGTGCCTGCACGGTGGAGGGGGGGGTGCGGTAAGGAGAACGGGGCGGATTTCCCCCCGGCGCTGTGCAACGGCAAGCTGGTGGGCGCGCGGTTCTTCGCTCGGGGCTTCTTGGCGGGCGAGGCGGTGGACTGGCGCAGGGACTACGCGTCGCCCAGGGACGTCGTGGGGCACGGCACGCACACCGCCAGGTATGCCACTGCGTGCCGTGCCAGCTGGACCGTGCTGCTGCTACGTGTGGCGGGCATGCTTCAGGGCAAACACGCATGCCAAATGGCATCACTGTAGCGCCCTTCTCTGTCACCTTCCATTCCTCCCGGTTCCTACCCATCCCATCTTTCTTGCTGCTTCTCTTGTCGCTTTCTCCCTTACCATCTCCGTGACCGTGACTCTCTTCTCGCCCTCTTCTCCATCCCGGTCATCATCGCTTGCCATGTGGTGCAGCACGGCCGCTGGCAACCAGTGGAACCATGTCGCGATGGGCAACGTGTCGTTTGGGGCGGCCAGTGGGATGGCGCCCAGGGCCAGAGTCGCCACGTATAAGGTGCGCCTGCCCGCACGCCTCTGCAGCAAGCCCTGCGCATGCATAGCGCCTCACTTTCAGGCCGCTCAAATGACGGCAGTGCGGCAGTAGTATGTTACGGGCAGGCAGTGGGTTTGCTCCGTTGCGAGGGCCACAAGGTGGTGTCTGGTCAAGTCAGCGGCAGGGGGCAACGTACGAGGTAGAGTCTCTTTTGGTGACACAGTCAGATGACTTCGGTACAGCACTACGCGTGGGCTGTGGGATGGCATGCAAGGGTCAGAGTTGCCACGTACAATACATGGAAGGCCGCTGCAGTCACCTACAATTCAAGGTGAGATCCGCAGTGCGCAAGTGACAGCAGCTATACTGCAGGCGGAGAAGACATGGTGGCTGCGATGGAGGCGGCAACAGACCCACCTTTCCTCGATTCCCCTCGTCCCCTCGTCCCCGAGCAACAACAGGTGGTGTGGGCGGCGAAGGATGGCAGCTACAGTGCGGACACGGCGGACGTGGTGGCGGCGATCGAGGCGGCGATAGCGGATGGCGTGGACGTGATCAGCCAGTCGCTGGGCAAGATGTTCGCCTCGCCCTTCGACGCCGACGAGATCGCCTTCCTGCACGCCGCACAGGTGACGTCAATGCCACTCCGCACCTCAATTTCCAAAGCCACACTCAAAGAGAAGCACAATGCATGCTTAATAGCGGGAGAGAAGCAACAGGAGCAGCAGGATGTTGGAAGGCCGCAACAGCAAGGTGCTCCGTGGGCGGTTGGCGATAATGATGGTGGTGAGGGGGCCTAGCAGCTGCAGGCTGACGTGGCGGTCACGTGATGACTGTATTGCACCGCGTGTGGCTTCTGGTCACTGCGAGGAGCGTGCTGACAGGAAACAAGGGCACACGGCAGCCATGACCGGCAAGGGGAGGCTGCCCTGAGGAGCCAGGCAATTTGGGTGCTCCCTTGCCTGTGTATATCCTTTCATGTTCTCTCGTGCATCCCATGCGTGGCTGTGCAGGCGGGCATATTCACAGCGGTGGCGGCGGGCAACATGGGAGGGCAGCTGCTGAGCATGCTGGACCACCCCAGTCCCTGGTACACCACCGTCGCCGCCAGGTGCGCCCCTCCACCCACCCGCTGCCATAGCCACTAGCATGGGGCCCGGTTTCAAACTTACGGCTGCCAGGCATGCTAATTTGGCGCGCAGCGGGGGCAGCATGGTGTGTGACACGTTGCTCTCCCATCGCCGCGCACCTCTCGGTTGTGCCCTCCCGTCTCCTAACCAGGGCACACCCGCCCTTCCCTCTTTCATCTCCCCTTGACCTCCCTCCACGTCATGTCTCCTGCTCTCTCCCCCTCCCCTCCACCCCCCCAGCAACACTGGAAGGCGCTACAGCACGAAGCTCACCCTCCCAGGCAACCGCACCTTTGTGGGGCTCTCCTTCATGGGTGCACCACTGAGGAAAGGCACACCGGCTGCAGTGGGACCTGCCATGTTCCCCCTGGTGGAAGGGGCAACTGCCGTTGCTACAGGCAGATCCCAAATGCGGGTAAGGAAGCAGTATATGATGGGCTCTGGCCATCGCAAGAGACGGCGCTACACCACTGCCACCTCACCACTGCCACCACACCACTGCCACCACACCACTGCCACCACACCACTGCCACTACACCACTGCCACTACACCATTGCCACCTCACCACTGCCACCACACCACTGCCACCTCACCACTGCCACCACACCACTGCCACTACACCACTGCCACCTCACCACTGCAACCACACCACTGCCACCACACCACTGCCACTGCACCACTGCCGCCACACCACTGCCACCACACCACTGCCACTACACTACACCACTGCCACTACACCACTGCCACCACACCACGGCCACTACACCACGGCCACTACACCACGGCCACCACACCACTGCCACCACACCACTGTCAACACACCACTACCACCACACCACTGCCACTACACCACTGCCGACACACCACTGCCACCACACCACTGCCACTACACCACTGCCGCCACACCACTGCCACCACACCACTGCCACTACACCACTGCCGCCACACCACTGCCGCCACACCACTGCCACCACACCACTGCCACCACACCACTGCCACTGCACCACTGCCGCCACACCACTGCCACCACACCACTGCCACTACACCACTGCCACTACACCACTGCCACCACACCACGGCCACTACACCACGGCCACCACACCACTGCCACCACACCACTGTCAACACACCACTGCCACCACACCACTGCCACTACACCACTGCCGACACACCACTGCCACCACACCACTGCCACTACACCACTGCCGCCACACCACTCCCACCACACAACTGCCACCACACCACTGCCACTACACCACTGCCACCACACCACTGCCGCCACACCACTGCAACCACACCACTGCCACCACACCACTGCCACTACACCACTGCCACTACACCACTGCCACCACACCACGGCCACTACACCACGGCCACCACACCACTGCCACCACACCACTGTCAACACACCACTGCCACCACACCACTGCCACTACACCACTGCCGACACACCACTGCCACCACACCACTGCCACTACACCACTGCCGCCACACCACTCCCACCACACCACTGCCACCACACCACTGCCACTACACCACTGCCACCACACCACGGCCACTACACCACGGCCACCACACCACTGCCACCACACCACTGTCAACACACCACTACCACCACACCACTGCCACTACACCACTGCCGACACACCACTGCCACCACACCACTGCCACTACACCACTGCCGCCACACCACTGCCACCACACCACTGCCACTACACCACTGCCGCCACACCACTCCCACCACACCACTGCCACCACACCACTGCCACTACACCACTGCCACCACACCACGGCCACTACACCACGGCCACCACACCACTGCCACCACACCACTGTCAACACACCACTACCACCACACCACTGCCACTACACCACTGCCGACACACCACTGCCACCACACCACTGCCACTACACCACTGCCGCCACACCACTGCCACCACACCACTGCCACCACACCACTGCCACTGCACCACTGCCGCCACACCAGTGCCACCACACCACTGCCACTACACCACTGCCACTACACTGCCACCACACCACGGCCACTACACCACGGCCACCACACCACTGCCACCACACCACTGTCAACACACCACTGCCACCACACCACTGCCACTACACCACTGCCGTGCCGACACACCACTGCCACCACACCACTGCCACTACACCACTGCCGCCACACCACTGCCACCACACCACTGCCACCACACCACTGCCACTACACCACTGCCACCACACCACTGCCACTACACCACTGCCACTACACCACTGCCACCACACCACGGCCACTACACCACGGCCACCACACCACTGCCACCACACCACTGTCAACACACCACTGCCACCACACCACTGCCACTACACCACTGCCGACACACCACTGCCACCACACCACTGTCAACACACCACTGCCACCACACCACTGCCACTACACCACTGCCGACACACCACTGCCACCACACCACTGCCACTACACCACTGCCGCCACACCACTCCCACCACACCACTGCCACCACACCACTGCCACCACACCACTGCCACCACACCACTGCCACCACACCACTGCCACTGCACCACTGCCACCACACCACTGCCACCACACCACTGCCACTACACCACTGCCACTACACCACTGCCGACACACCACTGCCACCACACCACTGCCACCACACCACTGCCACCACACCACTGCCACCCCGCCACTGCCACCCCACCACTGCCACCACACCACTGCCACCACACCACTGCCACCACACCACTGCCACTACACCACTGCCGCCACACCACTGCCACCACACCACTGCCACTGCACCACTGCCGCCACACCACTGCTACCACACCACTGCCACTACACCACTGCCACTACACCACTGCAACCACACCACGGCCACTACACCACTGCCGACACACCACTGCCACCACACCACTGCCACTACACCACTGCCGCCACACCACTCCCACCACACCACTGCCACCACACCACTGCCACTACACCACTGCCACCACACCACTGCCACTACACCACTGCCACTACACCACTGCCACTACACCACTGCCGACACACCACTGCCACCACACCACTGCCAGTACACCACTGCCACCACACCACTGCCACCCCGCCACTGCCACCCCACCACTGCCACCACACCACTGCCACCACACCACTGCCACCACACCACTGCCACTACACCACTGCCACTACACCACTGCCACCACACCACTGCCACCACACCACTGCCACTACACCACTGCCACTACACCACTGCCGACACACCACTGCCACCACACCACTGCCACTACACCACTGCCACCACACCACTGCCACCCCGCCACTGCCACCCCACCACTGCCACCACACCACTGCCACCACACCACTGCCACCACACCACTGCCACCACACCACTGTCTCCTTCCCTCGCCTCCCAGTATCTTCCATTCACCCATTCCTCCCTCGCTGCTGCAGCATCACGCACTAATACTTGACGCTCATCTGAGAGCTCTCCCTCTTCTGCAACCCCGTTTTCCCCGTCGCCCAACCTTTGCCACTCCAGGTGGAGAGCGCGGCATTGTGGCCCCAGTGCTTGCACGCACATCACAGCCTCACCCACACGCCCTCACCCGCACGTCCTCTCACCCGCCTGCCTCCTCCCTTCTCCACTCCCTCTCCCCCCTCCTCGCTTCCTCCCACCTTTCGCCAGGCGCGCTATTGCCAGCCCGGGTCCCTGGACCTTTCCAAGGTCAAGGGCGCCATTCTCATTTGCCTCCGCCCCAACTCAGATGACGTGGACCCTGACAGGGCCTCTGACACGCTGGAACTCAGCCACGTGGCAGCAGCTAACGGGGCAGCAGGTGTGGTGATTATCAACGAAGCTGCCAAGATGGGGACGGCTGCTGTGCTGCATCCGATCCCGGCATGCCACCTGGGCGTGTGGGCTATGCAGCCCCTTCTAGCATTCGTGCGCAGTCAAAAGAGGTGAGGAGGGTAGGTGCCTGCAGTGCGAGCCGGCCTGGGCACATGGGCGTGCCGCGTGTGGGGCATGCAGCCACTGCTGGCATTCATGAGGTGAGACTGACATGGTGGTCAAGTCAAAGAGCTGTAGAAGCGACCCAACAGTTGCTCATCTCTCAATCGTCTTTCTTCCCTCGTCCACCCCATTCTCCCCTCTCCATTCTTCCCTGGCCCCCAACCTTCTTTTCACCTCTAATATTGGCTATGGCACTGCCCAGTGGTGGCTCAGTGTTGAGTCACGGGGGCCCTGTGGAGGATCAGTTGGGGCGGCAGGGGGAGGTTTGAGCAGCATATCCATGACACTCCTCATCCCTCCTCTCAGCCCCCTGGCGTCCCTCTCCCTCTCGCCTCACCACACATGGTGAAGCCACAACAGTGCCACACTTGTCATCCACAGCGCCTGTGGAGTCCCCCATAGGGGCGACAGGGCAGGGCTTTGGACAGCATCTCGTTGCTCTTCCCTGTTTGACCCCCCCAGCCCCCAGGCGTGCATCTCCCCTGCGCTCGTGGCGTACGGTGACGCCCCCGCCGTGGCGGACTTCTCGTCCACTGGCCCAGTGGAGGACCCAGCAGTGGCGGCAGCACGTGGCTTTGGGCGGCATCTGAACGACGTGGTGAAGCCAGATGTGGCAGCGCCGGGGGTAGAGATATGGGCCGCCTGGACTCAATCCGTGAAGCAGGATTCGCTCAGCAGCATTGCTCCCGGTGAGAGTTAGCTCTGGGTGTGTCGTGCCGCTGGGTGAGAGTTAACTCCTGGATTTGACAAATTAACGGGTGGAAATTTGGCCAAATCTGGACTCTGACGGGTTCTGGTCGTCGATGACCCGGATAAAAACGGGTTGATTGGATTTTGGAGCTACACGGGTTTGACGAGCAGAAATTGAGTTTAGAAACATCGACCCCCCTCACCTTGTACTTTGCCCGTGAGTGGACTTGTTTCAGGCTTTGCAAACTTGGCCCAGCACACAGCTTTGCTGTCAGTGAGAGCTGACAGAGCAGAGAGCTGGAATGTTTGCTGTTAAAGGCACGACTTCTGACAGAACAGGGGTTTGAGCCCAGACGCTAACGGGTAGCTCTTGCCAGATACCGAGTACTGCCGAGTGCCCCAAAAGCCTAACGTAAGCCCTGCGAGCTAGTTATCCCCATGCATAACTGCACACCGCTCACATGCTTCCCGCTTGTTCCCTGCACATTCCTGCCCTCGTCCAGGAGTGGTGAAGCTAGCAGCATCCGCCTTCAACGTCAACACAGGCACGTCCATGGCCACCCCTCATGTGGCCGGCGCAGCAGCTCTCCTCATACAAGCGCACCCCAGCTGGAGCCCCTTCGCTGTCAAGTCTGCTATCCTAACCTCCGCCTCATCACTCACCCGATTTGGCCGACCCATCTCAACAGCATCAGGACACCGAGCCTCACCTTTTGACATGGGTTCGGGACACTTGACCCCCACAGGTGCGGTGAATCCAGGATTGGTGTATGATGCCACATCAGCAGACATGGTCCGGTTCCTGGTTTCAGTGGATGAGCGCAAAGCCAGGGCTACAGGTTTGGTTTGGTCCTTACCTCGTGGGCTGGTCCAACAAGCTGTAGCTTCGTACAACCTGAACCAAGCAAACATTGCGGTGACTGGATTGAAGGGAGAGGTGGTGGTGACGCGGACTGTGCGAGATGTGAGTGGAAGGAGGTCCACGTACACGCCGACAGTAGTGGTGCCACAAGGTGTAGCTGTCCGCGTGATGCCCAAGCTGCTGGTTGTGGAGCCTTGGGCAACAGCAACGTATAACGTTAGTATGCAGGTGGAACAACCGTCTCTTTCCTTTGCATTTGGAAGCCTGGTTTGGAACGATGGGGTATACTCTGTTAGGTCTGTCATGGCTGTCCAAGCGGTTGCGAAATAGGTTTACGAAGTTGGATGCACACCAGCTTTCCTTGTTTAAAGCCCTTGGCTAAAAACACAAAGCAGTCGCTCACTTGAATCTTGTATAATTCACTAGCATCTTTGGACTCTGAACAAAATATGAACACACTCAAAACCGGAAGCGAGAAGGAACGAGGACAGTCATTGGTGCATGGCACTGGCACTGTCTTGGTGACACCCATAAATGTCCGCGACAGTCTCCCCGGCACGCGACCCCCCTTCTCACTGTCTCGTCCATCCAACCTTCGCTGCAGTCACCCTCCTACTTATAATCACAACTCCCTTTCTCCGCCCTCTCCTAATCTCCCACTCACCCCATTCTAATCTCAACCACATCCCACTCCACCTCCCATCAACTACACCCCCCCCCCTCAGTAGTCGCCCCTCTCCTTACCGCCCCATCACCTTACCTTACCTTGCAGGCGCCTTCCCTTCCCACACAACCCTCAACCTGGCCCCACCCTCTGCCCTCTCCCGTTATTTTCACACCAGCCCCCATATCCCATTCCCCCCTTTATACACACACCGCCCCAACACCCCTCCTCACTCCACAACCACCCACCCTCGCAACCCACACCCGCTTCTCCTTTGGTCCCATCCTCCCATCACATCCTCCTTTCTAATCACACTACCCCTCCCACATCTCCCACTCCCCCCTGTGATAATCTCGACCACATCCCACTCCACCTCCCAGCAACCGCTTCCCCCAATATGGACACACCTCTCCTTTCTTTGCAACCGCCCACCCTCACAACCCACAACCCGCCCGCTCCATCTGCCCTCTCCCTTTATAATCACACCGCCCCAACACCCCTCCTCGCCCCACAACCCCTTCCAATATGGTCACTGACCAGCCCACCCTCTGGGTTTGCCCCCTCCTCTCCACTGCCTCCTCTTTAAACACAATGCGGTGACACTGCAATGACTCCCATGTCTACCCCCTCATCCCTCATGTCTCCCTTCTCTCCCTCTGCCCCTCTCCGCGTCAGATTCAGCTTCCTCTCCTTCCCCCGCTCCCCCCTCGTTGCCCTACTCTCCCTCCCTCTTTCCCTCACTCGTTTCCTTCCTCTCCCCCATTCTCGCTCGCCCTTTTCCACCACATGCCACCTCCCCCCCTTTATCCTCCAGTTGCGCTGCCTCCTTCAACCCTTCTCCTTTTCTCTAGCCACCCCTCCCTCTCCCGTCGCTCACACATGCGTGCCCAATGCTCTGCGTTTCTCGCATTGGTTTCGATGCCCGGGATTGTAACTGTCGTATCTTCCCGCGCCCCTTCCCTCGCGTGTTTGTTGGAGCGGGTCAGCGCAGAGCCGTCGTCTTGTCTGCCCGCGGGCTCCGATCGCTCCTGCTTCGAGGTCCCTCGCGGTTTCATTGAGCTCCACCGCCCTGTCTGCTCTAGTCTAAATACTCCGCAGCGGGGTTTTCCTCGGTAGGCACCTCGGTGGCAGGAGTCGCGATAGAGAGGCACATGCACGCACTGCGTTCTCACTTTGGTAGCTCGTAACTGGCGCAATCCTATTCTTCCCTGTGTGGTGTAATAGCTGTTTTGGGGGGGCATTTTCGCCAGGTCGTGTCGTGCTCAGTTGCACCCTGGTCTCGCGCTGGCACACCTGCTTCCCTTGTTTCTCCAATCCGTCGTCACCGGCGCATTACTTCGTCGCGATACTAAGTCTCGCATTAGCGACCCTGAACCAGCCTTCTTTCCCTTCCAAGGTCACCCCTCCCTTGGTCCCTAGCCTTGTCATAAGTTTCTCTGCGCTATTTGGTTAGGTGTTTTCGCAGTCGCAAGGGCCATGTGGTGCGGGCCACTCTGGGTTCGCCTCTGCCCCGCACATTTCCAAGCTTTCATGAGCAGCCAAACGTGTGTATTGAGAAAGCTTGCTTCTTGTTAGTGCAATGGCATGGTTCACATTTCACTAGCATCAAGTACAAAACGTTCTCAATATCTCAATATATCAACCTAGTCTGCTACACCAAGAAGGCTATGCCTATGCTGAAGACGATCCACGGAAGCAGTGCAGGTTGTCGGGGACGAGTCGACGAAGCCAGATGGAACGGGTCGGATGGGCGGGAATTGAAGTTGAGCTGTGAAGAATGAAAAAAGTTGACGCAAACTGTAAGGAATTTTCCATTCCTTACCGAGCGGTACTGCTATCGCGTACGCTCGACCACACCTGAAGCCTCGGGACTGTTCCAGACCTTCTGACAGAACCGCCTCGGCTTTTCCAGACCTTCCGGTTCGACCTTCGGGAGTTCTCCCGGCCTCGCTTCGTCACTTCGAGACCCTTCGATCTCCTTCCCGAACCTTCCCATCGCATGGTTAGACTAGCTCTGGTGTTCCTATATCTTGGCTTGCCATTCCTTGTATCGTCATTCATTGAGTGAACACTTCGTTATTCATTTCCGCGCTACCCTGCTTGTTCATTCATAACACCTGGTATTCAGAGCCACTTTCCTCGCTCACCCGTTTTCGTGAGTTGATTTTTTTTTGGGGGGGGGTAGGTCCCTCACGTAAGCTGCAAAGCGGTTGCTCGCGAATTAGATTGATTAATTCGCCCAACTACGATAGCGTTTGCGCTTACCTGAGTACAGGCACACGACGGAATTCCCCCTGCCCCGGCGGAGCATTCGCCAAATGGACCAAGCTCAGTTCAATGAGCTTCGGGAGCAGTTCAACGCCATGAACACGCGCATGGCTACAGTGCTGGAGGACAACGAGCGACTTCGTGCGGAAGTTGCTGAGTTACGCCAGGCGCGAGAGGATTTGCGTCAGAAAATTGCCGCCCAAGAGGAGGTCGCCAGCACCGGACGTGTCGAAACCGTCTTGGACGAAATCGCACGTCAGGTGTCACAGGAGCGTAAGGACAGTGAAGCCGCCGCAGCAGCTGACGTGGCAGCACGGGCAGCAGCCGAAGCAGCAGCAGCAGCAGCAGCGACAGCAGCAGCCGCTCGGTCAGAAGCAGCCGCTACTGTAGCCGCACCGGCGTTTATGCCGATCGTGACGACAGCGACGATCAAACCGACAATGCCGCCCCCGTTCAATCCCACAGATAAGAATACTACTGTTACGAGCTGGTTATTTTCGGCGGAACTTTATTTTAATGCCGCTGGGATCACTGCTGACGATTTAAAAATTCGACTGGCTGTATCACTACTGCGGGGACCTGCGCTAGATTGGTGGCGATATACTCTACAGGAGGGGGAGTTTTCGGCAGGCGACACACAGGGGTTTTTCGGAAACTTTGGGTCTGCTGCCCAAGGGTCAACCGCGATTTTTGGATCGACCAAGATTCGCACGTGGAAGGCGTGGGGTACAGCTCTGCGTGAACGGTTCGAGCCCATATCCGCCTCGGACAACGCACGCACGAAGCTGGACAACTGGCGCAAGTGGAGTTCTGTCCAGGATTACGCGTCGGTCTTCATGGCGTTATGCGATCAAATCACCGACATGCATGACTCCGAGAAGAAAGCTCGATTCATTTCGGGTTTGAAGCAGGACATTAAATGCGAGGTCCGACTGCGACTGCCGGCAACGTTTCACGAAGCCATTCGGATCGCAGACAACTTCGACGCGCATCGGACGTATGCGAGAGCGGGTTCCCGGGAGGGAAATCGTTTTCGTGGCCAGAATCCACGGCCCACGATTCACGGCGTAGTGGCGAAGGAGCACATGGACGATTTTCGCAAGGGACAATGTTTCAACTGCCACCAGCCGGGTCACCAATCTCACGATTGCCCCCGAAAGAAGCAGATAAAGAAGAACGACGAGGACAGGTCGGGAAACGCCAAGCGTCAGTAGCGGTCGGGCCCCCTACTGACCCTGCCTCATCGCCCGAAAAACAGCATCCCCACCGAGTAGTGGTTCCGATACATGCTATCAACCGCTCCCGGCTGAAAAAGGAGGATGACCCAGTGGACCACCCTGTACTGGCGGAAGGACGACTTCATGGAAGAAAAATTAAAATATTCATCGACGGAGGTGCGAGTCATAGCCTGATAAATCGAGAGACAGCACGACGACTACACCTGACGCTGGAGAGGTGTCTACCCGAAATCGATGCACGATTGGTGGACGGCACCCCGCTGGCGATACGCGACAAAGTACCTGTCGTTCGAATGAAGTGTGGCGACGATTTTGGTTTCAGCGCGCCGATGCTGGCGACAACGCTCGACGGCTACGACGTGCTACTGGGACGCGATTGGCTGCGAAGATTCAACCCGCAGATCGATTGGACGACAGGCGAGTGCACAGTGAAGTGCGACAAAGGTTGGCAAAAATTACCCACGTGGTCGGAAGCAGAGACAACATCAACACGAGTCAACGCGGTGTGCCTCAATCGAGCGGTCAAGAATGGAGCGGATTTATATGCCGTCCATCTAACCAAATCGACGGAGCAGAAGGAGGCGACCGACATCAACAAACTCTGCGATTCGGTCCCGGAGGACTTGGCGAAAATCATTCGGGAATATCCTGAGATTTTCCCGGACGACTTGCCAAGTGGACTGCCACCCGAACGACCCCAGGACCACAAGATTGAGCTGGAGCCCGGCGCGCAGCCTACTGTACGCACGCAATGGCGCCTGACTCAGCCAGAGCTACAGGAGTTACGAAACCAGCTGGATTACCTGCTGGTGAAAGGGTTCATTCGGCCGAGCACGTCCCCGTTCGCAGCACCGATCCTGTTCACACCAAAAAAGGACGGCGGACTTCGCATGTGTACGGATTATCGTGCCCTTAATCGGGTAACGATTAAATCGCGCTACCCAATCCCACGCACGGACGAACTGATCGACAACCTTCGCGGAGCTCGCTACTTTTCGAAGATCGACCTTCGTGGCGGTTACCATCAAATTCGAGTGTTCGCTGACGACTGCCACAAGACCGCGTTTCGTACTCGCTATGGGAGTTACGAATACACGGTGATGCCGTTTGGATTAACGAACGCCCCCTCGACGTTTCAACTCACCATGAATGGGGTATTCCGCGATCTACTCGACAAATGCGTAATAATTTACGTGGATGACATCCTGATCTACAGCAAGACCCGGGAGCAGCATTTGAAGGATTT